GGGGGGGGGTCGTTTCCAAAGGAGTTGCGCCTGACCATTTGCTCGACCCTGGTCATCAGTAATCTCACCTATGATCAGTTCTTGTGTGATGTGTCCTTCGATCGTTCTTGACTGTACACGAATTCGAGCAATCAGCTCGATCTCTTTACCGTCTTTTAGCCTAAAACAACCAATTCAATCGATATATCGATTATTCGCAAATGTACGCGCACCATTTGCAGACTACTCCTTTCGTGTCCGGAACCACGCATTCGAATACAGCTTCATGTCCACGTTTAGCTCTAGAATCCTTGATCTTGGTGATGAATTTCGGTGCCATAACAGGTGTAGGTGTGCGCTGATACTCTTCACGGAGAGATTCGTCGTCAGTGAGAGTTAGCTCGTCAGCAATGACCTAATAATCCATCCATTAACGTAGTTTAAAGTAATTAATCTTTCTTATGAATCAATATATTGATGAGCACTACCTCTTCAGCTTGGGCTTCTGATTCGCTTTCGCTAAACATTTCGCTGGTATATGTGGCCATATTAGCCGTGCAAGAGACTTCACCAGCATCATTTTCAGCCTTAAATCAGCAAATCAGTGGAGCGTAATATTTTTTGATATCAACCTACCTTGCAAATGATCTCTCCAACGTCGGTTTCCGGGTTGAAATTATTGATCGTAAGGGTAGAAGTCTTGTCGTCGGTCACTATAGTTATTTTTTCCGAGTTTTTGACTTCTTGGTTATTGATGTACCAAGTCAGCACAGGCTTAGGATCTCCAGTGAATACCACCTGAAAAAATTCACTCGCATTTGTCAACACCAATAAGTCAATAAGTCAGTGAATCAACATCAATAATCGATTAATTGATTACCTTGTGAACAACTTTGGAACCCTGACGAGCACGCACATTACTGAGCCATTCGATAAAGTCTGGTGGTTCTCCGCGGGGTAGTACTAACAGCATCGCTTCGCTGGATGCCTTACCGTATTCGTTGACGGCTTCACAGACGACCTTCAATAGTAATTTTTATCCAGTTGGGAAACCTTTTTCTTCTCTTCATTATAAGTCCCCTGATTCCTTGGACTCCCAATAGAAAAAATTTCATCAAAGACAGTAAATTAATACCTTGCCACTATAGTCACAGGTGATGTCTTTGATGGTAACGGTGTAGGTTCCCTTCTCGGCATGAATTTTGATATTCTGCGTCTCTTCGAGCTTTTTGCCATTGACATACCTATAATTAATTAGTGCTTGTATTCTGCACTTTGTATAATTTCACTACCCTAGTATGAAAGCCATCTAGCGACCATAAATCGAACAAAAACTGAAAGATTTTGAGGAAGATTTTGCACTTACCATGACACAACTGGTGTTGGTTCCCCAAGTAAGACAGCCTTGAGCTTCAAAGTGTCTCCCTCACGACAGGTGGCATCACAGAGAGCGGTTTCAAACTCGACTGGGATAGGTGCAACTACTTTGAGTTCGCCTTCAGTGGTAGCTTCGCCCATCTAAAATAAAAATAATTTGAAAAAAATTGGAATATAATAAAAAAATAAAGGTATTATAATGAAAATTCCTACATTGAAATTCACAGTCCAACTGATCAGAAAATTTTAGAAAATTAGGGACCATAACGGTACTTCTTAATGTCCTGAGGTCTTTGCTTACCTTATTGTATGCCACACACTTGATCTTTCCAGTCATATCAGCTGTAACTCCATGAATGACCAGAGAGTAGACTCCACCGGCGTTTGTGATTTCGGTGTCCTCAGTAGGACAAACCAGCTAAATTTAATTATGAAAATCAATAATTTATGTATCGCTAGCAACTTGCTCAGCATAAGAAAACGAAAATGAAAAGGAACTTGAAAATTCTTAGAGGAATGAAAAGTTTTTCAAAAAGTCACCTGATTATTGATGTACCATTTTACAAATGGTGTTGGGTCGCCAGTAATTAGCAGTT